CCTCCAATTGTCTTGGACTTAATTATTTCCTTCAAATTGCAAATCGGGAGTGTCGCAGCCCTCAGCGGAGGTCGAGCGTGGCTGCAGCGCTAGTAGAGTTTGAGCGTGCTTAGTCTTCTCATCCAGCCTCTCCTCTCTCCACCTCAAGTTTGTCTAGAGCATCTAGAATAAATGGAGATGAGGCAGGATAGATCAAGCGTGCGTCGGCAGGAGTTGTTGAGAACAGCGGCAGTGGAAGAACTGGCCCAAAGTGAAACATTAATATAGACTTCCCTGGTCCAAAGTGAAAACTTAGTCCTATCTCTAGTCCAAGTTACAATTTAGATAAAAAATAGTGGTCCGATATGAAATTTACTCTTAAAACTAAAATTACACCTAAGTTAGTTACATAGCAATTACAGTATAATTATATACAAATTATATTTGAAGACGAAACGAGCATGTAGTTTTCGAGTAATTGTGGGACACATAGCTGGAGAATTTATTTATTTATTGAGCCGTCTGTAACAACAAAGTTTGAGCCGTACGTACGAAAGCACGCACGCAAGTGATGCGAGTTGGCGCGACGGGCGACGGCGGTCGATCGCACAAGCTTTTGGTTTTGCTTGACCGGCCCCGCCCGGCCGCACCTATTCGTACGCTGGTTTGGCCGCTGAAAACTTCCAAAAGAACCAAGCTAAAGGCTAAAGCCGCTTGCACGCACGTGTAGACAGGAGACCACCTTTATTAGGGTATGTACGATGGTTATCAACAGTGGTTTAATTCTTTGCATTGCTAATTAGGAATACCTGTTGTCTGTTGACATGGAAGAAAGAGAAAGAGGAAGAGACAAACATCGTTGTTATACATAACAACGGCTCTTAATCGAGATTTCTAATGGGTGAACGATCGTTCTAGGCGATTGGTTTTTTTTTCTTTTTCTCTCAAAGTAAGTTTATACGCCTAAAGTTTACACATCTAAAATTATCCACCTAAAGTTTGTAAAGCGAATGTTTATAAGTCAAAAGTTTATATACCCGATTCAAATTCAAATTTGAATTCAAATATTTTATATTTTCCTCTTTTAGTAAGTTTATACACCTAAAGTTTACACATCTAAAGTTTATCCACCTAAAGTTTGTAGAGCGAATGTTTATAAGTCAAAAGTTTATATACCCAATTCAAATTCAAATTCGGATTCAAATATTTTATATAAAAATAATTTCTATACATAAAGTTTATGTGTGCAAAGTTTACGGTATAAAGTCTATGCACATAAATGAGAGTATTAGATTTTTTTTTCTAATTTTATTTACTAACTTTGTGTTTTTTTTGAATTTTATGATGAAAGGAAAGAAGGGAAAGGAGTATAGGGGGAGGGGCGGGTTGATCGCTTCCAGCGATCACCCACCCATTAGCCTCATCCGCTCTTGATCACTATAATATAGAAATATGGTTGCATGAGGGTAAAAAAATGGAAAGAATATTAAGAAAAGGAATATTTTTTGAGATAATGATTAGAGTTTTTATCGTCTTAACTATTGTAAAGACATGGTCTCTAAATAATCTTATAGCATTGTTTAAGAGACCATAGTCGTCTCTACCATTGAACAAACTCTTAAGCTTTCTTTGATATACATATATACCACTCCCTCCGTCCCTACATATTTGACGCCGTTGACTTTTTTAAACATGTTTGATCGTTCATCTTATTCAAAAACTTTTGTGAAATATGTAAAACTATATGTTTACATAAAAGTATATTTAACAATGAATCAAATGATAAGAAAATAATTAATAATTACTTAAATTATTTGAATAAGATGAACGGTCAAACATGTTTAAAAAAGTCAACGGCGTTATTTAGGGACGGAGGGAGTAACAATTAAGCGTGTCATCAAGCGACGCCGGCCATAAGCTGGCTGCTATATATACTCTACAAACACATGTATGGTCAGTATGGATAGCCAATTAAGCAAGGAATAAATCGAACGAATGAATACCATGGGCTGGACTGGCTAAAGGTTAGGCGATGATCTGTTAGCTCGATCCTTCGGTGATCTCCTTTATTTTTGCTAAAGCTGGTACGTGCGTGTGGTGCGTACTACTGACCGGTACACCTGACCAACTCAATTGCCTTTGTTCCCTTGGCTGAGTTGCAGTGCCTGTAGCTACAGAGTACAGACTGGGACAATGGTACGGAAGCACAGGAGATCGATGCGCCTCTTGCGAGTGCGGCTGTCACGGAAAGCGGCCATAAACGGCCCTCAGAATAAATTAATCTTGTATAAGGTATGATATATTTTAATACGTATAAGGTATAATATATTCTAATACGTTTTTATCCAGATTTATAGTACTAAGATAATTTAGTCTGCATACTGCAGCGGTCTGAGCAAATGCTATATATTACACGTAACTGCTTTTTAATAGCTGTAGCCCCTGTTTTGCTGGTTGTTACAGACGTTGCAGGGGCTGCGAGGAGGCCAGTTGATGAGCTCCCGAAAAAGCCGCATCCCTCCATTCCTGTCGATACAAAGGAGGCAGCCAGCGAACATCCATCACCGCCTTGATCGCCGCTGCCTGGAAGGCATCAGAGCGGTCGGGGATGCGGATTTAGGAGGTGCCGAAGAAGAGGAGATCGGTAACGGTGGGGTTGAAACCAAGATAACGAGTGGGTGCAAGCCGACTATAAGGAACTGACCCCTCAATGTCGACGTTTGCGAGTTCAGGGGCCATACCTCGTAAGAGGGTCGGACGACGGCGGCACAAGCTATGGGCTCGAGGCTCCTCATCCTCTCGCCTCGACACCGCGGCAGTTGTGAAGACTATAATGTGATAAGGATGGGCGGAGGTTATGACAACAGGGAGGGCGTGACCTGATCTGGCGAGCCCCGTCCTCTTTGGTGTTGGGAGTTGGTGGGGCCATCAGGAGAAGCTCTGGGTGGGTGGCGGTGGAGCAGTAAGCTTGAGTGGTGGGTGGCGGTGGAGCAGTGAGCTTGAGTGGTGGGTGGCGACAGAGCGGGAGCTGATAGGGCTGCTACGTCCCTGTATCCAACGTTGGCCTGCCACCCTGGAGGTCATTGGCCGGCCGTTCCGGAGTTCGTTGATAGGGAGAAGAAGAAAAGAAAAGAAGGAAGAAGATAGAAAACATGACATTGCTAGCAAGGTTCTAATTTTACAAAATCAGCATCAGCTAACTGATATCGTGAATAATATAATAGTAGTTTCATAAATCAGCACATCTACACTGACATGAATTCGATTAAGCCTAATAATATAAAATAGTCGGTGGACAGCACGCAACTACACGCACAACACAAGAGTCCAAAATTATTCGTTCCTGCAGCCGGGTGGCTAGCTATAGTAGGTTGTGGTATATGCATACCTTAAGTGCTCCTCAGATCGTCGCCGGCCTGCATGCAAACTTTCCAGCCAACCACGCGCCTATACGCTCGCGCGCACGCACTCTCGATCGGTGAACTTTACGGCCGGCCGGGCCGGCCAGCCAGCTGCTTGCATTGTGCATGGTCGTAGCAACAGGGAAGCTTAGCGACGAAGGCTAAGCTTAGCTTTTCTCATAAACAGTGCGTCCCAGGCAGTTAGGGAGTCCGAATCATGTCACTTCTTGCCCTTGCAAATCGCAATCCTCTGTAGCCATGAACAGTACGAGCAAGAGCACGTACGATGAAATTTGCGCAGCTCAGGGTTTTTTTTTTTCTGAAAAAAAAACATCGTACGAACACACGCAGACGCTTGATTACAATGCACGCATACTCGTCTCTATGAATGCACACACGTACATCATCACACCATATCCTTATAAATACCTCTGAATGACTAGAGATATTAACGATTATCTGTAGGATTATAACTGCTCATAAATTTTACAGGATCTTTAGGGAATTTGTTTCAATCATATAAAATTCTCATAATTAAAAACCATCTGTTCCAACTGTACTGCTGCCCTTAGCTTTCTCCTTCACCATATTTAAGGTTTTCGGCGAATTGGCTGCGTACATAACTCAACAATATGGTATTAGAGCAAAATATCTTTAGCCTTGGTGCAGTTAGATGTTTAAAACATCAAAGAAAAAAGGAAAAGTACTCCCTCTTTTTAAATTACTCATCGTTTCAGCTTTGTAATAAATCAAATATTTTTAACTATAAACAACATTTTCTATAAATTTTATATAGTTTAACATCATAAGTTTATGTTTTAGATTCATCGTAAATATTTTACTTTCATAATTTGTTAAACTATATAATTAAATTTCTAGATATTGATGGTAAATGTTAGAATTTCTAAAAGCAAAAAGAAGTACAAGAGATATCTCTATGAAAATGCATGATAAAGTAGCAGCAGCTAGCTAGCCAGCACACAATTGTACAAAGCACCTTAATTGATAACGAGCGCACAACTGCTTATAGATATGGAAATAAGCGCACAAACCCACACACAGATTATTAACATCATGCTGTACATATACAGTACCAGAGTACGATATCAAAAAAAGGACAGGCTAACATGCACATCACCGAAAAAAAATCGAAAGCACAAACATGGGAACTAAAGCGATCCCAACACATGACCAAAATCATCAATAACCACATCGACAAATATTGCGCACACGCACGCACGCTTAATGCCTTGTTTACATCAATCCCATAATTGGGGGCTTAATTTGCACCACACACACAATGTTAGAGCACAACACATACACCATCACTTTTACTCTCTTTCTGCCTTAAAATCTCAATAATCTCTCTCTGTGTGTGTCTCTACAACTTTGCATGCATGCCCATCAAATAATCATCTTTAGTGAGTTACCTTTTGCTTTCTTGCTGACAGCTAGCTACACACTGCCTTTGTTATATTACCACATGCACACACTCTCTCTCCTTTTATGTGATGTTTCCTTAGCATTGTAAACCAGCTTTCATGTGATGTTTGAAACTTGAAACTTCTAGACCCCACTTGGTCACCACTCACCACCTTATTGCATCTCTATAAATACCCTTGCTATCCCACATTCCAAACTCCATGTCCAACCATCCAATTCCAAGCACTACTACTCATCACTAGCTCACACACAATTGCATACACCTAGCTCAAAAGCCTTTCTATTTCACTAATTGTGTGTGTTCATTGCTAGTTGCATTGTGGTTTTCTAGTTAATTAACAAGCTAGCTATACCTAGCTTATAATTAGCTAGAGTGTGAGCTTATAATTAGTTAGTTAGTTGAAAACAAGCTAAGATGAGGAGCAAGGCGTCCATGTTCTTGAAGCAGATGGTGTCGACGATCGTGGCGGTGGTGAAGGCGAAGTCGACGGCGGTGAGGGCCAAGACGAGCGCCATGAAGACGCGGCTGCTCATCTTCGGCGTCCTCCGCAACCGGAAGCTCCTCGCCACCGCCATCAACCACAAGATCCACGCCATCATGGGCGGCGCCGCCGCCCAGGACACCACCAACGACGGTGGCGTCGCCGGAGTGGAGGACGACGACGGCGGCGGCAGCAAGAAGGCCGTGGTGCTGTACAACACCGCGCCGAGCTTCCTCACGGAGCGCGGCTACTACGATCACGCCGGCGAGGAGGAAGAGGAGGAGGAGGACAGCGACGAGTACCTGACGCACTCGTTGTTCCAGGAGGAAGACGACGAGGACGACGAGCTGGTGAACGCGCCGGGGTCGGTGATCGACCTGGTGCGCGACGCCAAGGAAGGGGAAGGCGGCGAGTTCCGGCTGGAGGACGAGATCGACCACGTCGCCGACGTGTTCATCCGCCGCATCCACAAGCAGCTCAAGCTCCAGAAGCTCGACTCCTTCAAGAGGTTCTGCGAGATGCTCGAGAGGAGCGCCTAAGTTCATACCCAGATCGCCAAACTTTTTGGCTCACTGTGCATGGTGAAGAAAAAAAAACCTTTTTTTTACCGTTAAGCCAAGGTTAATTAATTGATTAATTACACACACAACTTGGTGACTTTTGATCCATGCACGCATGTAAGTAGAGAGAATAAAGTGACAAAGATATATACTTCTCTTGTAGAAGGGGTTCACTACTTTACTTAATTAGGGAGCAGCTGCTCATGTACTTTATAATTTACTTGTCTTGTTCTTTAGTTCTTTTGATCAGGGGGAGGTATATCGTTAAGCTTCCAAGAAATTATTGAGTAATAAACAAATAAAAAAGTTGTAGATTCCTGACATTCAGTTGGGTCTATATCTCACTTCTGTTCCATGTAGTCTAAACTAGGGATGTAAACGGTCGGAAATGGTCGAAAACGGTATCACTATTTTATTATTTTTTCGAAAACGAACGGTAACAGTAGGAAAATTTCTATATTTATGAATTTATCTATTTAGTGTCAACTTCAATATTTATCTATTTAGTGTCAACTTCAATGCCACGTTGACAGAAATTTAAAAAACTAAAATTTAAAAACGGTAACCATCGGTAAAAATATTATTATTATATTAGTTTTACGGAAACGGTATAAGTACGGTCGGGAAATTTCTATACCGTATTCACCCCTAGTCTAAACTATATTTGTCTCGATCAATTTCTCTCATACTATTAACTAGCATAGATAGTCGTGCATTTGCACGACTTTAACCCCCTCTATACAAAATGTGTCTGCATTTCGTGGTTTTGAAACATACTATTTATTACTTTTTAAATAATTCATACATAACAATTAAATGTGTCAGTTAGTGTAATAGATATGGTTAGGGTTCATATTCAACTTCTCTGTCATAGTTTTCCTCTACTTATTTACTCAACCATAATCGTCTATTTTTTTGTTTGTGCCTTAGCTGCTGCTTTGCCACTTTTCCGCCTTAGCTGCTGTTTTGCCACCAAAGGGGCTCATCTTTTCACTTATGCTTATGTTTATCAGTCAAAATTTGAATTTTCAACATTAAATTTTGAGTTGATTTTAAGGTTTTTTCATCGAAGTTTATTTTTCAGCCTTTGCTTTTATATCACTAAAAACACGTATATAAAAGTTTTATTCACAAAACCCTTTTCGTTTGCAAATATATCGGTTCACTTATTCCGCGAATAAGTGAAACGATGGCTCCGCAAATCACCAATGGCCACCTACATTGTTGTAGTAGGAGCCCTTTATTTTCCTATTATATTCTATCCATTGTTCATTTCAGCAAAAAAAAAATTACATACTTGGATACTTGCTAAAAAAACGTATTTAGCAAGAAAGCATAACATAGCTAAATTTATCTTGATATGTAATAAATATTTTTTTCATGCAAATTAATAGTTTACAATGATTATGCTAAATTTGCGAAATTACTGTTGTATAATTTTACTGTTACTCCTCTGTTCATAAATATTATAGGTTTAATTTTGAATAAAATTATGTATCATAGTCACAACCATAATATAAACTGTTTTGAGATGTTAGGCTTTTTTTTCCTTTCCATTGTTTTGTAATATTTAATTTTTTTTAGAGATCACTTTGATAGTTTATTTATGCGCGTTCAGTGGTGGTCTCGTGGAGCTTCCCGGCTCGCGAGCTTTCTGTTGGAAGCTTCTTGAAGGCCAGCTCCCGAAGCCGTATTGCTTGATCTTTGGCTTGTACAGCAGTACAGGAATATAATCCAACGGTTTATATCACTTGCTGCATGCATTGGACGGTGTTTAATTTGTAGCTTATGTGGCTCAATCAGGTTTTGAGAAAGTTTACTACTTCCAATTCTACTGGTGGGCCTTAATCCCGGCACATTTGTGGATAGGCCCATTTTAATTCATATCTCAACCCATCCACATCTAATGGGCCGGAATACCGGCCTGCCAAACAATTCAAGGCTTCAGGGGTGAGGACAGCTTATAACAGCAAACTCCTATTGAAAGAAAAATATTTACATATACGATTCTAAACTAGATTAATGGAACATGTAAAAAAACCTTGGCAGGATTACATGCCTATTCTATTAAGGCGGAGCATAAGGAAAATTATACAGATTGGAATATTTCCTGTATTCATACCTAAAGATAGCTTTATTTTAAGATGGAAAACTCAACCCCCATCATTCCGCTGTAGCTGATTATAAACCGCAACATTTATTAGCGATAGGAAAAATTTATGTGAAAAACTTTTATATATGTGTTCTTAGCGACTTAAATGTCAATCCTGAAAAACAAAAAAAACAACAAAATTAATTCTAGTGTAAATATCGTAAAACTATATATACTCTGCACGATCTATCACAAAACTACAGATTTAAGAACTTGTTTCACAAGACAACATATTTAGTGTTTTTGTTTACCACAAAACTACAGGTACTTTGCACAATATATCACAAACTACATATTTAATAACTTGTTTCATAAAACTACAGATTTAGTGTCTTTATTTATCACAAAATTACAGGTTTAGTGTCTATTATTATCGTAGTTTTGTGATAATAGAGACACTAAACCTGTAGTTTTGTGATAAATGAAGACACCAAAATTGTAGTTATGTGATAAACGAATACACTAAATCTATAGTTTTGTGAAACAAGTTCTTAAATATATAGTTTTGCGATAGATTGTGCAAGGTATCTATAGTTTTGTGAAACAAGCTCTTAAATCTGTAGTTTTGTGATAATTTGTGCAAAATACCTGTAGTTTTGTTAAACTTACTCTTAATTCTAAAACTAAGTTCTAAAATTGAAATTTTGATCGTGGCTAATAGGCTAACGATGGAGCTGCGAAATGGAGCATAGCTTAACTGGTTAAGGACCCCTTTGATTCACAGGATATGAAAAACACAGGAATTGAAGTAGCAGGTTTCTCAAATCCTAGGAATGAGCAAACATGCTATGGGAAAAATAAAGGAAGATTCACAAAGAGGTCACACCTCTTACTATATTTCCTATGAAATGCAAAGCATAGGAATACAATCCTATGAAAAGTTTTCTTTCCTTCCTATGAATCAAAGGAACATGTAGGAAAAAATCTATAGGAATTTAAATCCTATACAAATCATTTCTCAGTCATATGAATCAAAGGGCCCTTTCTTTATGGTATAACTAACCTGTCCGAGGTTAAGTTATAGTTTTGTGTATGTTCATAGGGATGAGAATGCATGCGTTGTGAGCATTTCTAGAAGGCTACAGTAACCTACGCAGAGCAGTATTACCTCCGTCCCAAAATACTTGTCGCTTTCAGTTTTTGTTTGTAACTTTTGATCATTTGTCTTATTAAAAAAATTATAGAATTGTTATTTATTTTGTTTGTGACTTGCTTTATTATCAAAAGCACTTTAAGTATGATTTGTCATTTTTTATATTTGCACTAATTTTTCAAGTAAGATGAATAGTCAAACGTTACAAGAAAAAAGTCAAAGCGACCACTATTTTAGAACGGAGGTAGTAACATCTGCACTGTCGGTTCAAAATCGTGTGGCTGAGGGGGTGTTTAGATGGGGCTAAAACTTTTTAGCCCATGTCACATCGGATGTTTGGACGCTAATTTGGAGTATTAAACATAGACTAGTAAAAAAACTAATTTTATAAATGAGAGCTAATCCGCGAGACGAACTTTTTAAGCCTAATTAATCCATAATTATCAAAAGTTTACTGTAGCATCACATTGTCAAAATCATGGCGTAATTAGACTCAAAAGATTCGTCTCGCGAATTAGTCCAAGGTTATGGAATGGGTTTTGAAATTAATGTATGTTTAATACTCTAAATTAGTGTCTAAACATCCGATGTGACAGGGACTTAAAATAAGTCCCTGGAAACAAAACAGGCCCTGAGATCGATCAATCCCCGAACGGAAGCCGTACAAGTCAACGTAACATCAACAACTGTTTCGCGAACAAAAAGAGTACAACTGTTTCGAAAAAAAAAAGAGTAAACATCCACAGCTATGGGAAATCATACTGGCCGTCCGATCTTGAATTAATGAGCGCGAGAGATAAGAAGGGTTTTTTTTTATATATAACAGAGAGATAAGAAGAGTTAAACAAACATCTCTTTTGTCTCTGGAAGATTGGGGGGACAAACGGATAAGCATTAGGCACTGCCGATGACGATGCAGGTGGGCCCATTTGCTCTAATCTGCCGAGATGAGGATGCAGATATGAGATATTTGTCTTTCTTAACATAAATTATCTCGTGCACATATCATTCGTCCCTTGAAAAAAGTTATACTACCAAAGTTGTTTACACACGGGCTTTTGATTATAATAACAAGTAAATCAAGCATATGTCCGGCCTACTACTGAAACAGTTAAAACAGTATTTTGTGATCAATATGAAACTCTGTAAAGTTTATTATAGAATAATAACCGGTATTCAACGAAAAAATTGTGTAACATAGATATGTTTATACGTTAATTAAGTTCCTTACGTTTAATCATATGACAACAGGATTTTGAGCAACTATTTTTCTTTTTTAAAAAAAGATCTAGTCATTTTTCTCATCCTTGGACGGAAATTAAAGGTTGAACAATGATTACTGTAACTAAAACATCCAACAAAATTATATAACTAGTAAAAAAAATCACAAACTATACAAGTACCCAGACTTGCATAGAACACCACTTTGAAACCATATAAAATAAACTAAAAATGCACATTATATAGGGGTATAATTGCTACGTGCAATTTTAGGTGACTAGAAAATTGTATGAATTTCCACATGACTAAAGTCCAGCAAATCCTTATCAAAATTGATGTTGTGATAAGAATTTTCCCAAAAAATTGTGACCTATCGAGTTGCTGTAATATTTATGGCCTATTTCAATTTGCTATAAAAACAGCAAAGAAGATTATCCCAAAATTATAACTTTATGGACACCTTAACATTACTAACCCCTGGAGCCAACATGACATAGAGGTGATATCCGGCATGACGAGACGACTACGGGATATGTTAGCATGACATATCAACATGTGCATTGGAGCACTATATCACCTTAGCAGACAACTAAGCCACCTACTTTAATCCGGCTGTAACTTCACTTGTACAGTCGGTGCAGCTGGATCAAAATGCATCAAGCTTAAAAAGGGCAAAAAGACAAGATGAGAGGGCCATTTATCCTATCCGGGGATGGGTTTTTGACCTAGGTGCACCAATCAAGTGACGTTTCAAGTAGACTTGATTGCAATAGTGTAACCGGATCGGAGTGACGGGCCGAGTAGTTTTCTAATGTGGCATGCCACTACAATTTATACATTACTAATGTATCAGGCTAACATGTTCCGCTGTCTCGCCCATGCTAGGTATCATCTCTATAACATTCCTTAATATATTATGTTAGGGTATTCATAGAGTTGTTTTTTTTTTTGATAATTTTATTTGCTACCCTTGTAACAAACTGAAATGTGTCTCTAACCTTGCAGCAAGCACTTTTCTTGTAGCTCCAAAAAAAAAACTCCAGTTTTCTTGTGCCTCTAGCATTTTGCAGCTTCTACACGCCGCCCGCCAGCTCAGTTCACCGGATCCCCGGGAATTAAAATCACACGAGATCGATCAGATCGCACGCTGAGACGTATAGACGACGTGGGTCCCGCCAAAGTACTGGGCCCACCAGTCATTGGACCACCGTACGACGACATGTGTGCACCTACCGTGGACTTCGCTGGAAAAACCACCGAAGCCGCCGCCACGTCATGCCCCGGCTGCGGTTTTCTTTAATAAAGCCCAGAACACAACTGCCACACCCACCCCACTTCTACCCACCCTCAATGACGAGTGGGCCCCACGCCAAAACCGTCCCCAGGACGTTAGTGTCCGTAGCCGACGCGCGCCGCGTCGGCTGACATGCGGGCCCCACCTCCTCGCGGTCGGATCAGCATTTCGCCTTTCGTCGTCGTCGTCATCATCCACTTCCACTTCCACCCTCCTCTGCATTTGCAACCACGCGCAGACAAGAACAAGACGCGCAGCAAAGCGCAGCAGCAGCAGCAGTATTAATCGAGGCCAAGGACAAGGAGCAGTGGCAATTGTTGTTGGGAGAAGAGCGAGTTGTTGGGAGGGAGAAAGGCCAAGAAGAGGAGGAGGAGGAGGAGGAGGAGGAGGGGATCAATGGAGATGGAGAGCCCGCGGAGCCCGGAGGCGGAGATCGGGCACAGGGTGGAGGACCTGTGGGAGGTGGCGGAGCCGCAGCTGTCGCCGTCCGAGAAGCTCAACTCCTGCTTCGAGGACATCGCCGTCGCCTCCTTCCCCCGCCCCCTTGGCTCGCAAGGTAGGTAACTTACTAACGCCTCTTCTTCCTACTTTGCTCCTCGCTGACCTTGCCATGGCCTCTGCTGCTGCTGCTACTCTCTGATTAATCAGTTCTTGATGCGAGCTGAGCTGACATGACCATTTCTGTGTGGATTTGGAGTGAACTGTGTGCTGTTCCTCTTCAGTTGGGGTGATGGATAGATGGTGAACAAATTTAGGCATTCAGAATTCTTGTTGGAATTGATACGGCCAGCAGCCAGTTAGTTCACTGATTGAGGAATGCGTTTGCTGTTTCTCCTGATTGGATTGAAGTCATTAAACTGGTAGCATTAGAACCTATCTTGTCACTATTGTGGGTTGAGCCATCAGACATGTCTCTTTCGTGTCCTGTCCTACTATATATACCACTACATATATAGTCATTTCATTCCTTTGTGCAGTTGCTGGGGCCATATTTGCATTCTTTTCTGAAGCAAATGTTCCTTCGTGCGGGTTAGTGCCGATGGCCTACATCCTACCTCCAGCCTGGCCAATTTTTGTTCTTGACGGGTTGAAAAGGGTGGCACTGTTTTATGCAATCAGTGACAATGCAATAGGGGATTGTAGGACTTCGGTCTTATCTGTATGATGAAGCTTTTTGGTTTTAGACAGTGAACTGTATGATTGAGTCAGGGGGAGCATGGTGATTGCTCTTGTTGAAGGGTCCTTTTCACTTCTTAGACACGCTAAAGAAGAACCTTTCTGGATTTCCTTTTTATTTGTGCCAATATGTGAACATTCAATGGCATATAAGGAATCTTCTCTATAAATATAGATATCTGCTTACTGACAAATGACTTCGCTCTCATGATTCCAAGAGATGTTCTAGAACGGTGAGGGTCCATATTACCGTCTGATTTCTTAATTGTGATCTTTGCTATAAGACTAAGCAGAAAAGTTATTTGGGAAAATAGGACCTGTTTAAACTTGTCCTTGGCTTTCGTCTTGTTAATATCTGTGTTAAATAATGTGCTTTTCGTTGGTGGTTCCTGGTGGTCGATACAGATTGTACAGATAGGTGTAGCTTTTACCAATAGTCAGCATTTTGCCTATCTCGGCTCACAGCTATTTTTCTATGGCCACATGATGTTAACATGGCAACCTCAACTTCAAAATCCTAAGTTGGACATCTGGTAATAACAAAAATCATACTCCAAAATTGTTAACTGAACTGGTTTGTTGTACCAATGCCACATTGAGTGTGCTTTTATTAAACTCATTGACATTATACGGATCTGAAGTTTTATACCTGAAAATTGACTTCACTATAGAAATTTGTCATGAGGGAGAATGCACCTTGACTTGTACAAAATGGATTTCCAACCATCAATATATATTGACATGAACTCATTAATTGCCACAAAAGGTCATATCTTGTTACAATGTCAGTTTTATGAGCATACCATGTCTGATAAGCAGTTCCTATCCACTTTGCTTCTTTCAGAACTTATGTTCTTGGCTTCACAGACCAACCTCTTTGGTATTTCATCTCCATGCATCTCGGGATCGATAAACCTGTTATCCAATCCATACAGATATTTTAGATGTGCTTTGCTTGAGTTTTGGAAAAAGTGTAGTCTTTCATCATCTTTCGGTCACACATGCTTTCACAAAATCATTTTTTTTAATCATTGTACTCAAGCGAATGTGAAAAAACAATTGATTCTGAAACATGCTGGACCTGTGACATCATATTATGCACCAAGAGGCTAGTATACTTATATGCACCAAGAGATTATTCTGAAATGCTCTAATACTACATGTATATCATAGGCTCAAAAAGTTGTCAGGTTTAATTATGCAAAATTGATTACTGGAATATTATTCAAGTAATACGAATTGAGTACTTTCTATATACCATAGGCTCAAATAGTTTCCTGTAGAACACTTTTACTTAATATGGTTTCCTGTAGAGTGCCTCTTTTTTTTTGTGCAAAGAATGCTTTTACAGCTACAGTTTTAACAAAGATAAACATTTTTTTTCCCAAGAAGAACCTGTAATCTATGATTTTGGTATTATCTAATCATCAATTTAAGCTACAACTTTTATGTTCTTTTTCTGCAGTAATCGAGATACCTTCAAATGCTAGTCTGGCTGATACTGTTGAAATATTATCCAAAAACAAAATTTTGAGTGCACCCATAAGAAATGTTGATGCTCCAGAAGATGCTAGTTGGATTGACAAATACATTGGCATTGTGGAATTTGCTGGTATTGCTATGTGGTTGCTCTATCAGGTTAGCCACCTTAATACTAGAGCACTACTTAGTTCCTCTCTGTTTCTTTTTCAGAAAAATATTTGTCTAATATTATGTTGTATCATATCATGCTATATTTGTGCACGCTGTTGAATTTTAGTATCATACCACGCTAGTTGAATTTGATGTATCATATCTAGTCCAGCTTTAATGACATGGTAGATTCTGACATGCTTAATATGTATCATTAAATTCAACCCTAATTATGGTGTTCACAATGAGCTTTCAGTTTCTTTTCTCAAGTATTGACAGCATTTTCATTTTTTTTTGGAATTCAAATACCCATGCATGGGAAGTACCTCGATCTAGGCTTAGTATTTGTTGGACTGCTCATCAATTCATTCACAACTGCTAAACCATGAAAACACATTTTTCAGATATTACTTACATGCTTGTTCTTTGCAAAATAACACTTGAATCTGATTGAAACACAAAAATAGTTCGTTTAAAAGAAAAATACTCTGATATAGGGAAGGTAATTTTATATTTGGTGATACAATTATAGGAATTTCATGAACATCCCATCTTTCTGACATGGGTTGCTTTTTCTGTTCCTACAATAGTCTGAGGCTGCAGCTAATGGCACGGCTGGTTCTGCCGTAGGGTCACCAGTAGCCAATCTAGTATCTAGGCTAGGCTCTTTCACATTCAGAAGGACATCATCTGGCAGGGTAGAAACCACCACTGACCCAGAATCAGATGAAACCGCATCGGTCGGTGGGAGCTTTTTCGAAACACTCACTTCCTCTGAATTCTACAAGAACACAAAGGTGATTTTCTTTTCCTCTCAGTTGAAAGCAGTTGTATTCACCATGATCCATTCTTGACACCACCTGTGCCACCATAGGTTGGCGATATCTCAGGAAGCTTCCGATGGGCGCCATTCCTGGCACTGCAGACATCTGACACATTCCTCACCATGTTGCTGCTGCTGTCCAAGTACAGGATGAAGAGCCTCCCAGTAGTAGACATTGGGGGAGATAAGATTGAGAACATCATTACGCAATCTTCCGTTGTGCACATGCTTGCAGAGTGTGTTGGACTTCCTTGGTTTGAGAGCTGGGGAACTAAGAAACTCTCCGAGCTGGGGCTTCCTCTCATGAAGCCATGCAAACTCGTTAAGGTACCTCCAAAACTTCAATGGGCTTCACTCGTAAATATATGTTAGGCACCTTCATACGCATATATTTATTTCAAGTAAATACAATGAGAAATTTAAACTCCTGTTCAAAAAGTATCCAAAAGCACATTGCAAATGTTGTATTCGATTATTAGCATTGCTTGCACAACAGTTCTTATGTGTTCGTGCCGACGGTGAGTATAAACAGCCATCCGACTGTTTGTGTCAACAAGGTTTAAGCAAGATAAAATTTACTAGAAGCATGCTGCTTTAATAGCTAGAAACAATTGCCTGTAACTAACCTCCCTGTGCAAGCATGTTATATTTGATCTTCAGGTTCGGGGCACTAGTTACATAGGTTCGACAATAAACTGTTTTGACACACCTGTATAATACAGGGGCTGGGGGTTTAGAAGGGGAATATTAAACCTTATACAGCGCCATCTACAATTTTTCCTTATTTTTCTGCTCCCTTCCACATGAGATCTATAACTGTTCTCTGTTGTCAACCAGGTAAATGAAGACCAACCTGTGTTAAAAGCCTTCCAACTGATGAGGGAAAAAGGCGTTGGTGGCCTCCCGGTTATGGACACAAGTGGCACAAAAGCAATTGGCAATATCAGCATCAGAGATGTCCAATATCTTCTAACTGCCCCCAACATATACAAAGATTACAGGTTTGAAGTTCTTACCACACTTGCTCCTATTCTTTTCCCATGTTTGTTCACCAATGCAAAAAAAAACTTGGTGCTTCAACTTGCACTCCCACCACATGCATCAAGACACACTTCAAATGCATTGTAGGAAGTAGGAAAACCAACTGCAACTTTTAACCTTTTTGATCCAACCACAGGACAATCACGGCCAAGGATTTCCTTACCGCGGTCCGGCAACACCTTCAGGAGCAACACGAGGCCTCGCCGTTGCTCGGCTCCGTCATCACATGCAGAAGGGATGATGAAGTCAAGGACATCATACTGAAGCTGGACTCGGAGAAGATCCACAGGATCTACGTGATCGATGACAAGGGGAACACCGAGGGGGTCATCACGCTGAGGGACATAATCTCCAAGCTGGTGCACGAGCCACGCCATTACTTTGGGGATTTCTTCGATGGTGTTGTTCCCCTGCCTCCAAACAGCACTGTATGACACGGCCCTTGAGATTTCATCACGCTGGTGTGCTCTTGTAAATTGTACATTATGTCCCTTTACGACAATGGTTCCAAATGGATGGGAATAGTGTACAGTTTGCCTTGTGTAGTTCTTTGGCAGTGGAACAACTAATGGACTAATGGATAGCACGGGTGTACATTCAATAACTTGAAATAATATCTGAGCTCCCTTCTGTATGTTTTTATGATGAGAATGACGTCTCTTTCTTATGTTCAATTGCTCCCTTCTTTTTTTCTTTCTTTTTCTTTTAAAGAATATTGGCTCCATGGTTTCATCTTCAGCTTATCAGCCATAATCAAAATTTGAGTTTTTTTGCTGCCTGAACTCAGAACCGAAATGCTAAAACTCAGCATCCTAATTGCTGTGGAATTCTGGAGTCACTGTTATCTCTGGCAGTGTCAAAAAACAGTTAAGGAGTACAGAAGCGGCTCCTTGTTTCTACAGCCTATTGGAAGCATTCTAGTTCGGATGCCGAAGTGTGTTCATCCACTTAAATGTCTTGAAACTGTGACCAGAGAAAAACAAAAACAAACGGTGAGTCAAACATCAAAATAACAAAAGGACATGAAAAGCGAGAAATAACATGCTACTACTACCAAATAACAAATCCAGTATCAAGTGAAATTCTGCTCCCCTCCTGAGAAAGTTGCTGTACCTGCTTTTTTTTTCTTTGGTACGCATGGGAACAACTAAATTTTTGCCTGTAGCATAGCAAGTTACTTACAAGTTTGTGGTCTCTTCTGCAAAAAAAAAAAGCATTTAAATTACTTACAAGCTTGTTCTTTACAAAATACTCCCTCTTTAAGACATCTCTTTAGCCCCACACTCTCAAGACATGGGCAACCACAATTGAGAGCCGGTCTCTAGTGCCTGACAGTACCAAGGATCATTCCAGCATTCCATGTTGCCTTCCACTACATCTGTCAACGCCATGACATTACTGAAATTAATGGATCTGCACTGCTTGATTAAGTATTTGTTGTTTTGTCTGAGTCAGAACCGAAATGCTAAAAGTTAGCATCCTAACTGCTGTAGAATTGTGGTATCAATGTGATATATCTGTGTACAGCATATAATCGCTGACTGTGTCATCATTTTGTCAGCGAACTCCCGGGTTTTGCTCTAACCAATTTTCTGTCTCCAAGACATGGATATTTTGCAGAAATTGTGCTTAATTTGAAATTTTGAAAAACGTTAGTAGCTAATGCAGAGAGTATGAAGTCTATGACATACTCGCTTCTGTGGAAGACGTGCTGAAGTACAGCGGAGTTGGATCTGGACCATCATAGCTGTATCACATTGCTAATCTGCAAAATTGTGTGAACGTACTCTTGGAGACATGATGGACCTGACAAGAATGGCAAAAAAAGTCAAATCTTGATGGCATGGATCTGGAAAACAGAAACAATGAAACAGCTATGATTTTAATAAACGTTCTTACTGGCACTTGATAAAATTTACAAAATCGCCATTGTTATCATCATACTAAAACAACGCTACAAAAATAGGTGCGACACAGTGGCATGCCTACTGGTACATTATTGAAGAAATAGCTTGCTCGACTGAATGGTAGGAGTACCATAAATTAAAAGCCCAAAAATAAACCAATGAGTAAATTTCACAAAACTGCAGTTATTTTGCACAATTTATCACAAAACTACAGATTTAAGAGCTTATTTCACAAAACTACAGATTTAGTGTCTACTTTTATCACAAAACTACAGGTATTTTGTATAATTTATCACAAAACTACATATTTAAGAATTTGTTTTATAAAACTATAGATTTAGTGTATTCGTTTATCCCAGAACTACACATTTAGTGTCTTCTTTTATCACAAAACTACAGGTTTAGTGTCTCCATTATTCCAAAACTACAGGTTTTAACAATGCTAAAACATGTAGTTTTGTGATAATGAAGACACTAAACTTGTAGTTTTGTGATAAATGAATATATTAAATATGTAGTTTTGTGAAACAAGTTCTTAAATCTGTAGTTTTGTGATGTATTGTGCAAAGTACCTGTAGTTTTGTGATAAACGTAGACACTAAATCTGTAGTTTTGTGAAATAAGTTCTTAAATCTGTAGTTTTGTGATAGAATGTGCAAAGTATATGCAGTGTTATGAAATTTACTCTAAACCAAGAGTAAATGTACTTACTTTTCTCTTGCATGCAGACGAAGTCCAGATCCAGTCACAGCAGAGAGGTCTAGCTATCTAGGAGCAGAGATGACAATAGATACAAACTAAGGAAAAAAAGAATATCTGAAGAAGTATCTCTGAAGCTACCCAACCAACCATCAATGAAATTATTGTGAAACAACTTAAATGAAACTGCCAGCAGGTCATCTGCAAAGTTACTCACACTGCCCAGAATATTAGAATAAAGGAAATAGATTTGCGAATTGGCATGAAAACAAAAGGGAGCTACACTAGAATTCAGCAAATATTACTGCCAATTATGCAGGCAACAAGCAGCACGACAATGAAAATCAACACCAGAGTACCGCTAGCCATACGTACTACTGATAAAACAGTAGGTGGAAAAGCTAACCCGCAATGGAGAAGATGTTTAGTTATCTTACCAATCAACTGCAACTAATAATTTATTATTCTCCAAACTGCTTCATAATATAGTAAATCTTACACACACGCTTTATTGTAAATCACATCATGTTCATTTGTCTACAACAATAGAGAGGAAACTTGCAAAAACCATGCTCAAATGTTTATGTATAGGTATAAAAAAACCAATACAATGATGGATCTAGACAAAGATACCATTGTCCATCAAGTGAATGAAGCTATGTAACTAACAGATGAAGCACATCCCTACTGTCCATGTCATATATGGTCTCAGACTCAGGTAGTTCAAGAAGTTGCTCCAACTAGGTACAAATACCCAAAAAAAATGAATGAATCAATTAGAACACTTGCTCTGGTAGACATTAATACAAGAGACAGCAACTATTATTAAACTTGGAGAATTTTCTAGCAATACATGCCTTCTTGCCTTAACTCGAAATGCCACACGTTATGGTTGCAATACATAAGCAACGTTATAAGTCTTACGCTTTTCACAACATCGCAAAATTGCAGAAAATTTCACAACGTCAAGAAAGTGAAGAAGATGGATTGACATTCCATGCACAAAAATTAGGTTTTATAATAATTAATAGTGGAAAAATATAAGATTATACAGAAAAAGAAACTTTATTGAACTTTATGAGATCAGAAACTACGTTTTCAAACCAGAAGATCAGTACTAGGATATTTTTAGTGTTCTGCTGAATTTGGCACAGATGTGAAAGCCACTTGATATAAGCAACTAATAGTGGTACATTTCATAATTCTGGAGCTGGAAAATGCATGGAATTTAATCCACTTAGCATGCAACTGTTTAGATAGAAGGTCATATTTCATTCTTTAGTTGTCACGCGTGTAAATTTTGCTGACTAATTGACATCCAACTAATGAGGACCAGGGATGTGTATTCCTCTTTTTGTTTCCCCTGTACATTCCAAAGAAACTTCAATAATACTCGCAAAATGTAAATTATGAACAGTATTGGGATAAGGCAAGTATTAATTAGATAGCCTTTTCAAATGATAACGTGAAAGGACATAGTAGTATGAAATTAGATGTTGACCAGTCTGGACAGTGGTAATAACAAGTTTTCATTTTAAATAAGAATAAGAGGGCTAGAACAAGAACACTGTGTAAGATGATCAGAAAAAGAAAAGGAACTTAAAATGTGCAACACCCTGAGTACAGATCCCGTAAACATAGCAAAATGCTATTTCTTATAATATAACTAAAAAAATGAGATAGCTTTTCCAAAATGCAGATGTATGAATCACACTCAAAGAATATTATCAAAAGACCATCATTACCTCCTAGCAATAGCCTACAGATGGACTAAAATTACGTTTATTTCAGAATCGACAATAAATGTATTTAATTCATATCAGTATCTTGCCAGATAAGATTGCTCCAGCAACAAATGCCTATTACTTGTCTGATCTATTCCAAGAACTGGCCACCCTACAAAGTGCAAAGGTACTGGATCATGGAAATGAAGTGTGCAAGGATATGAACACACTGAAAAAGCAATGTATGTACATCACTTCTTGGTACATATAATCTGATGGAGAAAAACGAAGGGATCCTTGTATAGTATTACAATATTGTAATAACCAAGGGGACAATCTAAACTCAAAAGGCACCAATCAGTCCATGTGATGACTCAGCAGTTCGGACACATAGCATCCCTTGTAGCAAAAGCATACCTGTCACCAAATTTAGTCAAATGGGAGCTACTATCTTCTCCTAGAATGGTTGGCAGGCCCTAGTGAACCTTCAAATAGATCAGACAGCTGATTCTCCAAGTCCTCTGGGGTGTATTTGATGTATCTACCTGAATTCCTTCCGCTATCCACTAGACTACCATATCTTCCCAGAAAAGCACGGTATGCTGGTATCACATTTTCAGAGATAGATATCTTGAGCTCTTCACGAAGCTGAGGATCTGGTACCTTCCAGAGCGTTTGACTCCTGTATATCTCATCAAAGGCCAAGTTGAAGTTCTTGAATTTCTCCTTGATCCTAGAGCTATTCCCACTACCACTTCCACTTCCGCTTCTGCCGCCGTGTGCATCATCCTTGAGAAAAGACAAAACCTTAGTCCATGATATCCTAAGGTAGTTCTTTGAATTTTGCCGAATCTTCCCACGGCGCCTCCGTATCCAGTGATCACCTAAAATCCTCCCAAGTTCAGAGTCCTTCACCTTTTGGACAATATAGAGTATATTATTCATGGAAAATATGCATTGCAGTGCACCATCCTCGTACAGTTTTGATTTTTCCTCCAAATTTGCCTCCAGATAAGATATCAGCTTCACTAAATGTCGTCCAAGTGGGGACAAGCTCTCCAAATACTCCTCCTCATCATCACCACCTCTATGCGTATCACTATGATCAACATCTCCAGCAGAATCGTCACCCAAGAGTTTGTCAAGCGTATCACTGTAAACAACCAACAACCGAAGATAGTTCATCACGTAACGTGTCATTGGGTGGATCTCACCAGCCATCATAGGCCGCCGTGATGACTCCTGCTGAAGAACTTTCCCAAACTCGAGAAGTGTGCCCTTCACTGCGTCCCCAAGCCTTTCAAGAACCCCCTCCAAATCACAGATTACATCATTCCCAGAATTCCCAAAGAACAGCTCCTTCAGTTCAGGGATCACCTCAGCAAGTGCCTCATACATGTCAAGAATCCGGGAGAGCTTCTCCGGCGAGCGAGAGCACACCGCCACAGCATCACCAAAGTTAAGAATCTGCATTATGCAACCCTTGGTAGATTCAACAAAACACTCATCACGCAGCTCATCAGACACGGCGAGCACCTGATCACAGATCCGGCGCTCACCGGTCAGCAGGGAACGCACGACCGTCTTGACCCCATGCACCCATTTCTTCATCTTGTCATTCAGAAGCTTCCACTCCATGCGCTGCACTTCATCGATGCTGAGGCGTTCGACCCCGAGCACCGCGAGGCACTCGTCGAGCAGGTCACGTCGGACGCCACAGTAGACCTGCTCGAGCTCACTGGCATACCCCGCGCGGTCCATCCTTTGAGCGATGGAGCGCAGATCGTCAATGGCCTCAGGGCGCACCAGGTCGAACACCTGGTCGTCGAAGGGGTTCCCCACGAGGCTGGCGCTGCGAGCGGTGTCCGGGCCGCCCTCCAGGCTGTGCGGGGTGATGGGATCGAACTCGGAGGAGGTGTCGAGGTCGTCCATGGACTCGAGGGAGAGGCGGCGCAGCGAGCAGAAGAGCCCGCTCGCGTCCAGCGGCACCGCGTGGCGGACCATGAGGTGGCGGAGCTCCTCCTCCATCCGCGCCATCGCGAGCTGCACCACGACGCCCGCCGCCTCGGCCTCGGCGTCGGCGGCGGCGGCCCCCACCCCGGAGAGCAGCTGGTCGACGGCGACGTCGACCGCCTCGAGGTAGTCGGCGACGTCCCCCTCGGGGCCCTCGAACACCAGCAGCTCCGAGGTCGCGTCCCACTGCCGGATGAGCCTCTCCGCGGCCTCGAACGCCCCCCGCGGCGGCGGAGGCGGAGGCGGGGTGGGCCCGGCGCCCGACGACGGCAAGGGCGAGGGGAAGAGGTCGGCGGTGATGGAGGAGAAGCGGTGGTCGAAGCCGGAGAGGATGCGGATCATGTCGTCCGCGGCGTTCTTCGACGTGGCCAGCGACTTCACGATGTGCTGCGCCGCCGCGAGCACCTTGTCGTTCCCCACTCCTCCCGCCGCGGCGGGGGGTTCCTCCGCCACCTCCAGCTCCTCCGGCTGGGGATGGGGCGGCGCGGGCGGCGCCGACATCGCCGGCGGCGGCGAGGGAGCTAGGGTTAAGTGAGCGAGCACGGGAGTAATCGCGCCGCCGCCGCGGAGGGTGGGTTGATTTGGGGCGCAGTAAAAGCAGTAGAAAAATGGCGGAGAGAGGAGAGGAAGCGAAGAAGAAGGAAGCCGCTCGATATGGGGAAGGGAACCAGCTAATGATGATCGGATTTCGGATTGTTCGAAAAAATAAATAAAAAGGGAGGAAAAATGATACTAGAAGAAAGGAAAGCATGCGATTTCTGATCCAATCTTATGATTTTTGATGATTTCCTACCGTGACATCTTGGAACAAGATTGGCTCAAATCTTTAAGATTATTTTTACCATTAATCTTGTAATCCCTCCATTTCAGGTTATAAGACGTTTTGAGTTTAGTCAAAGTCAAGCCGCTTTAAATTCTACCAAGTTTGTAGAAAAAAGCGCGTCAAAAAAGTTTGTAGAAAAAAAGTAGTAACATTTTCAACACGTAGAAAAAGTAGAATAATTGAATATATTTTCATAACAAAAATTTGTTATGAAAATATATTCAATTATTGATTTGGTGAAACTAATTTAGTATTATAAATATTACTATATTTGTCTATAAACTTAGACAAATTTGAAACAATTTAATTTTGACCAAAATCAAAACATTTTATAACCTGAAACAGAGGGAGTATAGTAAAGTTCATGATACTGTTATGATAGCATTTTTCGAGGTAATTATATGCAGTTTATTTTTTTTTTGAGCTAAACATGTGAGATATTTTTTATGGTTGAAATGTTAATATTTTGAATAATTCTTATCTTGAACGTTAAATATTTATAACAGAGGAAAGCATATGTTTAGGTCAATTTGCAGCTTATGAATTGAAATTACAGGGTAGAAAAAAACACACAATGCGTACTCCCTCCGTCCTATAAAAAACCAACCTATTACGGGATTTGACACATCCTAATACTACTAATCTGGACATACATATGTCCAGATTCATCGTACTAGAATATATCACATCCAGCCCTAGATTTGTTTTTTATGGGACTGAGGGAGTAATCACCAACAGAAGCTACATCTGATCTGCTATTAAAAACTTCAAGTGCTGAAAATGGACTTTAGGGACACTTGACTCTGCAAGGGGATGCATTTAAATATAGTATAGATCTTAATTTTCCCTTGAAACACAGGAGTGGTATGGCAAAAAAATTCACAATACTGATTCAGTTCCCGTTAAAATTGCTTTAAAAAATCTTACTACATTATAAAGGATCTTATCATAAGTGTGTTAGGATGAAACAAGAGGAAAATGTAGTACCCAAAGCACAACGCTATAAACAAACAAAGTTCAACACAAATATTTGTATATCTCTCCAAGAATTGCTGCATACAACTACAAAAAAGATTCGCCCGGTTGTCCAACTCTAGTTTGAAAACGGTAATAAAATCAACCGAGTCTTACATTAGTAACAATCTAAACCTAACTCACCATAGGATGCAATGGTTGGCACATGTTGCTTCCATGTGCCCCTCTCTCTCTCTCTCTCTCTACGAGCGCGAATTCAGTTCAGCTGTTCAGGGTGTGTTTAGTTCACGCCAAAATTAGAAGTTTGATTGAAATTAAAACGATGTGATGGAAAAATTAGAAATTTGTGTGTAGGAAAATTTCAATGTAATAGAAAAGTTGAAAGTTTAAAGAAAAAGTTGGTAACTAAACCGGGCCTCAAAGTTGCGGCAGATTCAGAGAAAATCGCCATCCATTTGTAATATGCGCCTGCTTCTTCTTGGCATGTTTCGTTCAGATTCTGAGCTGGTTGATGCAATTCCAAAGCGAAAAAGAGGCCCACCCGTGACATCAAACTGAATGTCCGAATATGCACTCCATCGAAAGAAGAGGATAAGAACAAAGAACACGGCTTCAATCAATCATACATTTGATACTCCTACATAGGAGTACGTACACACATCGAGCTGGCTTTTCTCCACATCTGCTTCAGAGTTCAGAGCTTGAGATTTCATTATTGTTGCTGGATTCAGAGTTTCAGATCCTGGATTTCGTGATTAGGAGTTAGAATATTGGTAGATTTCGTGATTAGGAGTAGAATATTGGTAGGACCGTGATGCTACAGTTTACAATGAAAAGTACGTGCGTGTTTATTCTATTCTATAGTTCTAATATGGGGATAAAATAACGGCCTGTAGTCGCGATTGCTCAACAACCATTGCCGACTGTTTGATGATTCTGAATCCATAGCTCAAATTACACACTACTACAGTACAGAAGAGGGGAGATAGATATGGCACATGAATCCTTGCAATCAGCTCTGAAATTGCAGGCCTGCAGTGTTTACAGTGAAATGATTAGTGCCCTCTAAACTCAACTCAACTGGAATCACAACACCTGACAGATCCAGGAAGCAGTGGCCAAACATAGGACAACCAAGCATGGATGAAGATATGACAGACCAAAGTATCAAATGGGGCAACCAATCATCACTTCATCAGGCATAGAACCAGCAGGGAACAAATGCACCACAGCCCAATACTGCCTTTTCAGTTTTCAGCATAAATGTCCACACCACAAGTATATGCACACATGTTAGCCAACAGTGGACAGGCACGATGATCCAGCAAAAGAGAGAACATATGCTGCTGGCCCAAAAGAGACTTGATCCTCCAGGCACTTAAAGATAGGGACTCTTTCCATTTCCTTTTCCCTCCAATAAGCATGTTCAAATACAAAAGATACAGCTTTCTCGGAGTCTCAGGTCCCCCTCCACAACCTCCCCAGTGGGACAAATGATAAGCCACACACAGCATCATACAGAGAAAACTTGTGCCCACATATGATACCTATATGTTAGGTAACTAGAACAGAGCATTTTCCCTTCAGCATTTAGCAATTAGCATGACAATTCATACTGCCACCGTAGTTAGGGATCACTTATCACATAATCATACAAGTAGATAACTCGTTTGGACAGACAATGGAGGTACACCTGCCAAGATCATTCACAGCAGCAAACAAATCGGTTGTCGCTAACATATCTGAATTTTTACTAGTACATAACAGATAGCTTGTTTCTACACCAAAATGGCACTACAGTAATACCAACCCCTTTCCTCATGAACCACCAGCACCACCGCCTGGGCCCTCATTACCGCTAGCCGGTTTGCGGTTCAGGTATCTTATGACAGCATCCTCAACCCTGTTTCGTTGTGGAATGGAAAACAATTTATTAGTCAGCACATTGATATATGGTTTCAAGCAGGAAGTACAATGAGTAAAGCCTTAAGATTTGCTTGAGCTTACCATGGTTGATTATAGAAGTCTGCACGTCTTTCTCTTTCAATATTCCTATTTGCTTCTCCTGCGATCAGCTTCAAATCTTTACTCTGAGACGCTATCAGTGCATTGATGAACTCCACTGGGGACTGGCTGAAACCAAGGAAGAATGCCCTCCTCCTGCGGTGCTCATGGATCTTCTTGATCGAAGCAGATATCACCTCATCACATGCCTCAATGTCCTTGTGCTTCTCAGTGTTGGCAAGAAATGCAGACATCTCCTTCTGCAGAGGGAAAGGAACATCCACAATCACATCATAGCAAGCACTCGCATGCGCGCCATTCCCAGAGAGCTTAATCTTATGCTCCAAGTTGATGGGCGGCGGAGGAGAGAGATGCTGTGATATCTTCTGCGATAGCATCGCAAACCTCAGCTTATCCTCCCCAAAGACCTTCTTCAACTGTGGATCACACATAAAGAACGAAGGATCGGTTGGATTCTGCAGCTTCTTCGCTTTGATGTACTGCCAGAGGGCAGCAATCACCCTCGAACGAGTGTCCACCTCAACCCCGAGCACCTCCATCAGAGGCTGCGAGAGCTTGAACTTCTCAGGGTTATAGTTCATCTCCAGCCGGATATTCGCGGAGAACTCCTTATCCCCTTTCCTCTTCACCTCGAACCCTTCCTGTGGGGCGGCCGACCGCGCATTCTCCCAAATGATCAGCGGGTTCTCCGGGTACAGCGACGGGTCGAGCGCAATCGTCACCCTCTTGAAGAAGGACGAGAACTTGGGGTACACAGGGTTGTGCTTGGGCACGACGCTGGCGGGGTCCAGCTCGGCGCCGTCCTCGAGCACGCGGCCGATGATCTTGAGCGACCAGGTGGGCGGCTCGGCGTTCTTGGGCGGCGGGATGGTGCGCGGCGCCTGGTTGGCGAAGGTGTTGAACACGTAGATGCGGAGCGTGCGCTGCAGCGCGGGGGGTGACTTGAGCGCCTCCTGGATGTCCACCTTCTTGCGGTGCAGCGCGGCGTCGACGCGGGACTCGAACTCGAGCAGCTGAGTGTACAGTGCCGACTCCGGGAGCAGCGCGGCGACGCGGTCGGGGAGCTGCTTCTCGGGGAGCTTCCGCTTCTTGTTGCGCCGCGCGGCGGCCGGGGTGAGGTCGACGCCGCCGGCGGAGTTCGCCCCCACGGCGGCCGCGGCGGCAGCGGCCTTGTACGCCGCGGCCGCGGACGCGGCCGCGGCTGGCGTGCGTGCTGTTGCGCCGCCCCCTGGAGGAGTGAGGAGCCCTGGGTGCGGTGGTGCCGCTGCGGTGTGTGCTTCTTGGTGGATGTGGCTGCTTTGTGCTGTGAGTGCCTGCTGTGTTGGCGGCGGCGGCGGCAGCGGCCATAAGCGGGTTCTGCGGCGAGGCGTCGGCGCCCATGTGGATCTGGAAGGCCGGGTTGTGCTGGGGCGGGGTGTGGAAGAGGCCCTGGAAGGGGGAGCCCGCGAGGGAAGGCGGGCGGAGGTGGCCGAGCGGGGTCGCCGGGGAGCCGCCCTGCTGCTGCGGCTGGGGCGGGCGCGGCTGAGGGGTCGGCGTGGAGTTCGGGTTGGGGTTGCCGCCGGTGGCCATGGCGGCGGCGGCGAGGGAGAGGCGAGATCTGAATCGGGAGCTAGGGTTTGGGGGGGAGAGAGAGGGGGGGTGTGAAGCGAGCGAGGAAGGGAGGTTTCGGACTTTCGGGAGGAGAGAGAATGGAAGATAGGGGGTTGAGTTGGGTGTTGGGCTACCGTTTCTTATGGGCTGGGCTGTAACAGTTGAGCCTTCATGGGCTTCTAATTTTAGCTCCACATCGTCATCATCGTGCAAGTAGTGAAGAAAGATAAACCTTCACACCGTTTCTTCCTCCTCGCTCTCTCCCTTCATGAGGGGCGCCTCTCGGCGGCAGGCAGCGATGCGGTGGGAGGTGAAGGAGAGGCACTGACGGACAGCAGGCGGCGATGCAGGTGGCAGCATGGTGCCGCTCGGCGCCAGGCGGCGATGCGGCCGAAGGGGAGAGAGCGAGATAGAGAGAAGGGAGAGAGTGCAAGGAGAGAGAAGGGAGAGAGTGCAAGGAGTGAGGAGAGGATGACATGTGAGTCCTATATGTTGGCTCATAATAATTTTTTCTTAGTGTGTGAATGATAAATGGATCCCACATATATGTTTTTAACTCTAATACCATCTAAGCGACACGTCAACGTTATAGACCAAGTCAATGCTGCCATGTAGACGCAACGTCAGCGAAACCGCCCTCTAAAACCAAAGGAAGTCAAATTGGAACGGTTTTAATAGTTGAAGGGTCAAGATATTTGGTGTTGTGGTTCAAGGATACTATTGTCGAATGACAACTGTTTCACGTCGAAGGATATGGTAAACTCGATGAATTGTTGGAATAGTAAAACAATATATTGATTGGTAAAAATATTTTAGGATCACCCCATTACATGGCCTAGGGGGCTATTTATAGTCCTAGTATAGGCTCATACCCTCTAGGGTTTAGTTATAGGGGAATTTACATGATTACCCTTATGATAGGGATATTAAAATGGGTATACAAGGTTGGTTTGGTTTGTGGACCAAGTGGTGTTACAGCTCCCGCTAGAAGGCACCACGCCCCTTTTCCATTTTAAGGTACAAACATAAAGGGACTACCTCAAACTCGACTCAGTAGTATAGCCCCGATCGAGAGATGGTTTTGACCTCAATGCGGGTAGAGGTGAGATTGAAGTTGCCGAGTGCTCGCTTTATTTAGCTGTCGCAGCGCCCCTGTAAGTTCGAAAAAAGATCGTACTCAACAGGAACCTTAAGCGATAGGGCTGATTCTATAATGAAAAATGTCAATGCCAAATTTTGGCAAGTTTTGGCATGACTAATTTTGGTAAGGCAAAGTTGTGTTTGGATTGAAGCCAAAATAGCCTAAGTTCACTATTGAAATGGCCTATTTTCTTAGGCATGCCAAAATTTGGCTTCAAACCAAATAGACACTAAACACTATTGAAATTGCCAAATATTGGTAAGCCTAATTTAGGCCTCAAACCAAACCAGCCCACAGTGTCTTTTGTATTCCTGGGCCTAAGGCAATCTTCCTGGGCCGGCCCATTATTGGCGAAAGGCCTCCATGGTCCGTAGGGCCTCCCAAGCCTTTAGTCGAAAGTATCTTCTACTTCGGGCGATGGCATTATGCTTCGCCTTACGGCCTTCGCCCTTGGTGGATCTTCGGTTGATTGATGGGCTTGGTGGCGTACCCTTCGGTTTTTATTGCCTGGCTTCGCTTAGGCCTGATGGCGAACCCCTTAGTCTTCGTCATCCGGCTTCGCCCAAGGGCTGCGCCCCTTGGTTTCGCCTTTGGTGTCCATCTGGGATTTAGCCGATGTTTGATGGTTTAGACGGTTTCGGCAGGTCGGGCGAAGGCCCTCATGACATACCTCCAACAGAAACGAATCAGATTCAATCACTAGTTAAAGAAGCCAAAGTGAACTTATTCCTCGCAGCAATTCACATGAGAAAACTTAGGAACGGGCACTTTCGAAGAAAGCCAAATGTTATTTTCAGTTTTTTTTAAAAGAAAATAGTTTGGAGGCACAAGAACTCAATTTAGCCACCCTACATAATTTTCAAGTCTATTGCCCCTCCTAGTTCCACTCCAACAATTCTGATAATCTCATACTGCTGCACAAACCCTTTGTAGTCCCGATTTGCAACCCCCTTTAGTCCCGAGTAGCAAACCGGGGGTATGAATCTGGGATTAAAGATTGCTACCAACTGAGACTAAAGATGGTAGAGCCAGGTCCTGGTTGGTAGGGTTTTTTTTTCATTGTTTTTAACTCCTTGCATATTGATTTCACTACATCCCCAAATAATCCCAAATCGTGAAATCACTAAATCATCTCCAAATCACAGATCAAATACATCGTAAATTCTGAAAAAATTACATCATAAGTTCTAAAAAAAATCACAAATACATCAACATGTTCACATCACAGATCAAATACATCACAATTCTCAAACAAATTCATCACAAATTCTTCCTCCGGTCCGGCCGCCGTCGCTCCACCATCGCCGCCTCCCCTCCCACCGGATCTAACGGAGGGGAGGCCGCCGCCTCTCCAACCTGGCCGCCGCTTCTCCCGCCTGGCCGCCACTTCTTCTCTCGCCCGGACCCTGCTTCTTCCCCCGCCACCGAATACAACCTTCGTTTTTAAGTATCTATTTCGTTTGTTCTCCCTAACCTCTCCTCCCGAATACAACCTTCGTTCTTTTCACCATATTGATTTATCATACATACCATAGTTCTCGAACTACTACGATTTCTTCGAAAAGCTTTCTGCACTAGCATTGCTTGCATAACTTGTCTTAAGTATCTATTTCGTTTGTAACTTTGCACTATGTAATATTTATTTCATCCCTATAAGCAATTGTCTGTAATCTATCCAAATATTAATAAAGAACAGCTTCTAAGTTGTTGCCCTAAATTAGGCTACATATACAAATTACTCATAATTTAATGATTGGTTGTGCCCCTAAGACACTAACCACTACTTAAAAAAAAAGAATTTTTCATGTGGTCAAAACCCATTTTTCCGTGTGGTTGGACCACCCGTATGCCCTGAAAGTGTATGTGAAAATCGCTAATTTTTCATGTGGGTGGCGCATTCGCATGTGAAAATAGGAATTTTGCGTGCAGGTGCTTATGTTGTTCGCACACAAAAATAAAGATCATGAAAAAAAAATAAAACTCCAACAATCCCGTTCTTCATCGCCATCGCTCGGCCACCTCTCGTCATCGTCGCTGCTCATCGTCGTCACTGTCGCCGCCCACCCTACCTCCAAATCCACTTCTGTCACCCTCCCCATCTTCAAATCCGCCGCCACTGCCCTCTCCACCGCCATATCCGTTGCCACCGCGCCTCCATACCACCGCTGTCGTGCTCGTCGTCACCGCACTCCCGCCTTGCCTGCCTAAGCCTGCTCGAGCCCGCCACCGTGCTAATACCGTCTGTAAGTTCAAGTGCCTTAATTTGGTTTTGGTGATTAATGACAAATCTAACTATATGAGACTAACGTTTTTATGAGCCTTTCTTTGACTAGTCTCATTTGGATATGAAAATAAAAATGATGAGAGGTATGTATTAAACTTCACATATTCTAACTTGGTCTCTCTTGTGGATCCAAAATATAGTGTGAGCTCCCTCATTGATCTTGATTGATTATGTGCATATGTGTTCCTTTGTATCCATATGTATGTACACTTGAGGGGGAGCTTATTCTATATTTTGTTTATTATAAGATTTCTATCTTGATTTGAAATCATCTTTCATCTCATCTCTCTATATTGTTTATATCGGGTTATTATCCATCACCAAAGAGAGAAAAGATTGAAAGATCTTGGATTAAACAATTTGTGTAATTGTTACTTTGGTGATAGATGATAAACCGATGTTTATGGGATTAACCTCTCTTTTGCATAAGTTGTCTACTAGGTTATTTCCCGATAATGAGATGTGGAAGACTTGCATTCTTTTGTGATGGACCTTAATCATGACAAGGATGAAATGCATGGAGATAAAATGATATGTACCACTTCTTATCTCCTACTTTTTGATAGATTCATATATATGATTTCCATGTTATTGATATATAAGTGTGAGACTAATGTTTACTTGAGTCTTATCTTATTTAGTCTCATTTACATTGAGAACATGGAGATCATGAAGGTATATGTTTTATGTTGGTCTACATCATTACTACATATGCCTTCTCTATGTGTATAGGATAAACCCCCATTGGTCATTCTCTAATTATGCATACACTTGCATCTCTTGTATATTTATTTGTATGCATATATTTAGGGGGAGCAAATCCTATACATTTATTGTGCATGTTCTAGATCCATGTTGTTCACCTATTATTTATATCGAATCTTTGCACTTGAGCTTGCATACGAGTATATGACACTTGTGATGTTAATGAAAACTCAACAAACATATCCATATCTTTCATATGCAACCGGTTGGTCATCAAGTGAAGGATGACAACCGATTTGTTGAGACTAATGTTCTCCTTTGAAATGTGAAAAGGAATAGGTCCTACTATGATAAGGCTAATGGATGACACGATGGGTTAATGGTCACCAAGCCAAGGACATCGCCATGTTGGCAAGAATGAAATCAAGCTTGTGATAAGAAGAAAGTCTTGACAAATGATGGTAAATACCTTGGTATAAACATGGTTGAATCAAATGGTCACAAGTGTTGATCTCGACTCAAGCTTGACCCCAAGTTGGATGCGCAAGGCAAAGGTATAATGGAGCTAAGAATGTTTTCTTAGTCTTTTCCCGGTCTTGGTGTTTGGTGTAGACCGGATTTGCTAGATAGGCGCCATACTATCAAGAGGGGTCTATGAAG